TTTTATTGCCATAGAAAGATAGAAACGGAAAGTGGCTAAATTCGAAATATATTAAAAGGTAGAACTCTCATATTTAACAAATAATGATAATAATAAAAATAATAATAACGATGTGCCTAGTGTGTAATAATGTTTGCAGCCGAGTGTGAAGCGGCTGGGATGAGAATCAGCACCTCCAAATCTGAGGCCATGGTGCTCGACCGGATAAAGGTGCCTTGCCCTCTCCAGGTGGGTGGAGAGGTCCTTCCTCAAGTGGAGGAGTTCAAGTATCTCAGGGTCTTGTTCACGAGTGAGGGAAGGATGGAGCGTGAGATTGACAGGCGGATCGGTGCAGCGTGCGCAGTGATGCGGTCGCTGTATCGGACCGTCGTGGTGAAGAGGGAGCTGAGCCGAAAGGCAAAGCTCTCGATTTACCGGTCAACCTTCGTTCCCTCCCTCACCTATGGTCATGAGCTTTCGGTAATGACCGAAAGAACGAGATCGCGGATACAAGCGGTCGAAATGAGCTTCCTCCGCAGAGTGGCTGGGCACTCCCTTAGAGATAGGGTGAGGAGCTCAGTCACACGGGAGGAGCTCGGAGTAGAGGCGCTGCTACTCCACGTTGAGAGGAACCAGTTGAGGTGGCTCGGGCATCTGTTCCGGATGCCTTCTGGATGCCTCCCTGGGGAGGTGTTCCGTGCACGTCCCACTGGGAGGAGACTCCGGGGAACGCCTTGGGGTCCCCCCGGATGAGCTGGAGAAGTGTGTGTGGATCGGGAAGTCTGGGCGTGTCTGCTTAGACTGCTGCCCCCGCTACCCGGCAACGGATAAAGCGGAAGATAATGGATGGATGGAGGGATAATAACGATGTATCAGTTTAATACATCACTTTTCTGGACACAACCACAGTTAGGCACTATACAGCCGCAGCCGCAGCCGCCCCACTGTGGCACCTGGTCTTCCCAGAGGTCTCCCATCACAGCACGAACCAGGCCCTGCCCTGCTTAACCAGAGGTCTGACAGGATCTGGGCCTTCATACAGAGGATGGTTGTAGCTGCAGTGAATTAAGTGAATAATTCTGTCTCTGTTCCTTCTGTTGCTGGAGATGGTTTGTCCTTGCAGCTTCAGCAGCGATGATGTCAGCGTGAGCCAGAAGTCTGCCAGGTCTGAGCTCCACTCACTGCTGCTCCTGCTGCTCCTGCTGCTCCTGCTGTGGGAGGTCTGCAGGTGCTAAACAATCAGCATCGCTCTGACCTTTCAAACTGAACACATGAGACAGAAATGAGTCCATGAGAGAAACTAAACCCAGAGAAAACTAGCTTCTGGATGAAACATCATTTTATTTGGTTTTAGTCCAATTTTAGTCGATATAAATAGATAGATCCTATATTGATCCTCGTAGAAGTTCAGGGCTCCAGTAGCAGCCGAAATACAAAATAAAGCCCAAATAGGACCAAAATGCTGACTGATTCATTAGCATTTTTCAAAAAGTTAGCATTCCTCCAGCGGACTTTTGCCTGATCCACTTGGTACGGACCATGAATCATCTCTGCTCTGGTCTGGACCAGTGTAAAACCATGAATCCTCTCTGCTCTGGTCTGGACCAGTGTAAAACCATGAACACTAAACTGCAGCAACATCTCAGGCTGAAAAAAAAAATTGTAAAAATTGTAAAACACAAAACAACCACTGTTTTAGAGACACACGTTACTCCTGACATTTGTAAAAATAGGACGTTTTTGTACAAACACAGAATAATCACTTGCAGCCAACGATGATAAAAGAGTCGCTTCATTACTTTACTTTACTTTATTGTTCGTGTCACATGATGCACCAGGAACAATGGAGCAATCCTGTTTTTATATAAAATCATTTGGTTTTATATATGCAAAGAAAATGTTGCTGTGTGTGTTCTGTGGATGTCTCTTCAAATCTGTCGAGTTCTTCCCACAAATAGATTCACATTTGGTCTCGTTTCTTCTTTGTCAAAAGTAAACAGAGCTCACAGATCTCTTCTTCATCATGACCTGATCTGGACTCATCATGAGTTGACTGGCCAATCAACTCCAAACTGCCTACGTTCAAAATAAATGTGTGTGTCTGTGTGTAAGTAAGTAAGTAAGTAAGTAATGTTTATTTATATACCGCCTTTCTCAGACCAGAGTCACAAAGAGGTTTACAATTGTTATTTTTTGGGCACTTGTCCTCTCACTCCACACAGAGATGGGAGCGGGGTCGCCAGTACAGGAGGCGCATGCCAGACCTATTGTACATATTTCTAGTGGTAGGGGAGTACCCGGAGGAAACCTACAGAGACACGGGGAGAACATGCAAACTCCACTCAAAAAGGCCCTGGTCCGACTAAACCCAGGACATTCTTGCTCAGAGGCGAGAGTGCTATCCACTCCGCCACTGTGCCGCCGTATCTGTGATATGTATGTATGTAGTGTATGTGTCTGTGTCTGTAGTGTATGTGTCTGTAGTGTATGTGTCTGTAGTGTGTGTGTCTGTAGTGTATGTGTCTGTAGTGTATGTGTCTGTAGTGTGTGTGTCTGTAGTGTATGTGTCTGTAGTGTATGTGTCTGTAGTGTATGTGTCTGTAGTGTATGTGTCTGTAGTGTGTGTGTCTGTAGTGTATGTGTCTGTAGTGTATGTGTCTGTAGTGTGTGTGTCTGTAGTGTATGTGTCTGTAGTGTATGTGTCTGTAGTGTATGTGTCTGTAGTGTATGTGTCTGTAGTGTGTGTGTCTGTAGTGTATGTGTCTGTAGTGTATGTGTCTGTAGTGTGTGTGTCTGTAGTGTATGTGTCTGTAGTGTATGTGTCTGTAGTGTATGTGTCTGTAGTGTATGTGTCTGTAGTGTGTGTGTCTGTAGTGTATGTGTCTGTAGTGTATGTGTCTGTAGTGTATGTGTCTGTAGTGTATGTGTCTGTAGTGTGTGTGTCTGTAGTGTATGTGTCTGTAGTGTGTGTGTCTGTAGTGTATGTGTCTGTAGTGTATGTGTCTGTAGTGTGTGTGTCTGTAGTGTGTGTGTATGTAGTAAATGTGTTTGTGTAGTGTATATGTGTGTGTATGTATATGTGTGTGTAGTGTATGTGTCTGTAGTGTATGTGTGTGTGTAGTGTATGTGTGTGTAGTGTATGTGTCTGTAGTGTATGTGTGTGTAGTGTATGTGTGTGTGTAGTGTATGTGTGTGTAGTGTATGTGTGTATGCAGTGTATGTGTGTGTATGTGTAGGTGTGTTTAGTGTGTGTAGTGTATGTGTGTGTTGTGTATGTGACTGTAGTGTATTTGTGTGTAGTGTGTGTGTAGTGTATGTGTCTGTAGTGTGTGTGTGTGTGTAGTGTATGTGTGTGTAGTGTATGTGTCTGTAGTGTGTGTGTCTGTAGTGTGTGTGTCTGTAGTGTATGTGTCTGTAGTGTATGTGTCTGTAGTGTGTGTGTAGTGTATGTGTCTGTAGTGTGTGTGTCTGTAGTGTGTGTGTCTGTAGTGTATGTGTCTGTAGTGTATGTGTCTGTAGTGTGTGTGTCTGTAGTGTATGTGTCTGTAGTGTATGTGTCTGTAGTGTGTGTGTCTGTAGTGTGTGTGTATGTAGTGTATGTGTCTGTAGTGTATGTGTCTGTAGTGTATGTGTCTGTAGTGTGTGTGTCTGTAGTGTGTGTGTCTGTAGTGTGTGTGTGTGTAGTGTATGTGTCTGTAGTGTATGTGTCTGTAGTGTGTGTGTCTGTAGTGTGTGTGTCTGTAGTGTATGTGTCTGTAGTGTGTGTGTAGTGTATGTGTCTGTAGTGTGTGTGTCTGTAGTGTGTGTGTAGTGTGTTATGTTTCTATGTTTCTAAGATATTGCACAATGTTATTTAGTTTAATTATTTTCTTTT